AAATTAATATTTTGTTCCCTCTGGTAAAATTTAATTGTCAATGTTTTTTCTTTTGTTTTTCCAATATTGAATCAAGAAAAGCCAAGTAAAAAAACTGAACTACTGAATATGTTATAGTGCAAACAGGAAAGAATATTTATGCAACTACATACAATTTTCCTTATGTTTATAAAAATGTGTATATATATATATATATATATAAAGTTTAGATTTAAAAATATAATAGTTCAAAAGTAAAGCAGATATTTTCATATAGTGCTCAATATTAAAAATATTAAAATAATATTAAAAATAGGATATTGATAATGTAATAAAGTTACTTAACTGTAAATAATAATTTTGATATTGTTTCCCCAACTTCAAAGTTTCTTGGAAAGTTTCTTGAAGAATGAACAAATTCTTCAAAGGGTCTGTTGTTTGAAGAATGGACAGTTCCAAGAAATTTTGAACAAGAAATTGATATTTACAGTTAAGTAACTTTTTTCATATATATATATATATATATATATATATATATATATATATATATATATATATATATATATATATTTAGTTTATGCAAATTTAGGTAATCCGTATGGGTAGACCTGAGGAGGATGATATCCAGAGAGCTCAATGTAAAATTCAGAGCAGATATGTTTGAATAAAAGACAGACCACGTTAAGATTCCATGTAATAAGCTATTTCACCATAACCCCTTTGACAGGGGTCTGGATCATCGAACTTTACTTCCAAAAGCTGAAATGAAAAAATCATTTCAGCTTTTCATTTTTTTTTCATTTTTTTTCATTTCAGCTTTTTGGAAGTAAAGTCTGATGATCCAGAACCCTGTTAAAGGGTTATGGTGAAATAGCTTATTACATGGAATCTTAACGTGGTCTGTCTTTTATTCAAAAATATATATATATATATATATATATATATATATATATATATATATATATATATAATGTCTATTTATCTTTTTCCCTCACTTATAGAATGAGAGAGCGAGATGAGATGTTATACTGGGTGTGATGGGCAAATTGTCACCATTTTATATTTCTAATTTTGCACATGCACATTGTTTGTTCTTCATTTTCTGCAACTGCACTGTATAGTAGGGTCAGTTGGGCACCGTCTGTGAGAAAAAGACCACCATGATGCAATTCACTCTGCCAGAAATTTTGGAAACAGCATTCTGTACAGCTTGGTATTCGCATCCGAAGTTCCAATATGAATATTTCAAACTGTTTGGGTGTAGACAGTGCAGAGGATTTGGAAAGTGCTGGATGAGACTAATGGGAATTATGAAGTTGTTTGGAGTGATCACTAGTGATGGTGACGTTATGCCTCCATTCATCTTACCACAGGGCCTCAGACTCAACACGGAGACCTCCATCAAGTGGCTTGAGGTGGTAGTGCTGCCCAGAATCAAGAGAGTGGCTACTGAAATAAGCTCTGTCTGGCAACAGAACTCTGCACCATACCACACAAGCTAGAGAACCCAGTCATGACTATCAGACAATTTCTGAAACTGACATCTAGCAACCTAACACTTCAGACTGCAACTCCTTTGGTTATTATGTGTGGGGTGCAGTTGAGTGAAAGACCATCAAAACACCTTGAAACACCTAAGACGAACTGAAGGCAAGGATTATGACAGCATTCACTAACTTAAACAAGGAGACCATCAAGAAGAGATGCAGGAGATTCTGAAGTCATCTGGAGGCTGTGATTGAAGCCAATGGTGATTTTATTGAATAAATTTACTCATTAATATTTCAAGATATTTATGTGTAATTTTGATAAATATATCTGTTAAAATGAGATTCAGTGTTATTTTCATTTTTGTGTAATTTAGATGACAATTTATCCATCGCACCCTGTATATAAGCATTTATACATATGAATAAATTTTTACTAAATGTTGACCTAATACAAGGCCCAAGAGCCATTCAAGGCAGAGGGTTACTGAGGGCAGTTGTATGGATGTAAGAAAAGGAAACGTGTAAATTATATGGATATATATGATAGTAACAGTTAACCCTAGATTAAAGAGCTTAAGATTGTAACGGTCGGGGAAGCATTTCTTTCAGGAATCTGTTCCACAAAGTAATGGTTTTCAGGAAGAAACTGGCTGAGTGGAACTTCTTTCTTAAAAAATAATATGTATGTGTGTAAATTGAATGTACACATCGTGTAGCATAGTGAGGGATTGACGTACCGAGTTCAAATTCTAGTGAACACTATTATGTTCACTTTTTGGAAAGATATGAAGTGATCTCTTTTTCCCACTCAAGACTTAAGGGTTAACATCCAAACAGACTAGACTTTGCTGTTATAGTTGGTAACCAGTCTAGGGGAACGACAAATCTGAATTCAAAACCGATTGGGCATGGGACTAGCAACTCTATTTAGTCAAGACCTATTTGCTACTAAAGGTACAACATCAAGCATGTTCAGGCTGTGTTCCTATACACCACAGGATTTACATACAATGCACATTTTAAAATATTTCTAAAGTAATTTCGTTCATTTGTCAATAAATCCTGAAAGTTTCATTAAATTTCAATAATTATTTAATTTTTGCAAGAATTTCTAAATCAATGTGTGTTTTTTTACCACAAAAAGAGAATAAAATTTCCCATTGTAATTTATGGTCACCTGTTGACACAAGAAAAACGAAATGTTTATGGTTCTGTAAAGGACTAAAAGATATAATTTAATAATCAGAAAAACCTTTGGTCTTTCTTCATAATTAGAACAAATGATTCTAACGAAAAACTTCTTTGCTTTTATTAAATTTGTGGTATTTTTTCATCATGTATGGTAATTTTTTTAGTGAATCTTTGAAGGTACCTATATATATATATATATATATATATATATATAGTTTTATTGTATGCTATATTTATGGGTAAAAGTGCTCAATGACAGAACAGAGCTTATGTAAATATAAATATAAAAATGGGCACTCAGATCAACACCAAGCTGCGACGATCTTCAGGTTTTTTGTTATGCATAAAATATACATAAAATATTTGCTTTTTTTCTTTAAACAAACTCAATAAAGATTTTTAAAATTTTGTTAATAAACAAGACAAATTGAGTAACAATTTATTTTATTACCTTTCCCAACGAAAACGTAAAAATATAAATATTTTAGAAATGCAAATTCAGATCTGTTAGATGTTTAAATTTGCTTACTTACCTTTAAGCAATCTATTTATATAAATAAAGCGCAGTGTACGCGTGTCCGTCTCGACGAATCTTAAACAACCTGAACAGGTAGTAACTGCCATCGTTACACGCAATTAAAAATTAAATAAATAACTCATTTAAAGTTAAATTTAAATATCGAACGGAGTAAAAGATTTAACTTTAATTTCACTTTTCGTCACAGTTCCAATTGATAACGTCCCGTTTATTAAAATTTAAACGGGGCACGGTACGTTGCTCATATGTTTTTTTTTTTTTTTTTTGTTTTTGTTTTTTTTTTTCGTTTTCTAGCACGTGTACAAACATCGTACAACATAGTTCGGGTTCCCTAATGTCTTTTAAGAGTGATTTCATGAAGGGATCATAAAGAATGGCGATTTAAAAAAAATTGCGCCCAAAATAAATGCAAACAAACTACAGAGATCGGTTGCGTATACGAAGAAAGATTATGCTAAAAGGTGTTGAATAAAGATAAAATAATTTTATTATTTCTAAATTCTTATAACATTTACGTACATAGGAAGCTGAAAAAAATCTCCACAGGAGCTAACCTAAGATCCACCCAAACAGCGACATTTAGGCTAGTTTTAAAATAAAAATCCTCAATCAAATAATTGCTTATTTATATTCATCACAAAAAATCAGATTGGAAATGAATAACAAAATACAGTTTACTTTTTATTTCATTTTTAAAGCTCAATATGCAAATTAATTATATTTATTAAGTAAGAACCTCTAACTTCGGCAATGCATGCTGATAAAGTTTTAATTTTCAGTTTCGAACGGACAGACACAACCTTACGGCTTTATATATTAGATAGCATGATGGGAAAAGACATGGCAAGCAATTAAAAAGTCCATTTTCTTTCACTTTCATTTTACGTGATTGACATGTGACTTGATATATTCCATGCATGTTTAAGTTGTTCCCACAGGGCACTTGCTTTTCGAAGAAAGGTATTAATCTAATTTATCTTCTCTTACCCTGTTTTTCTATTTGGACCATGTATTATTATTATTAATGCTATAATTCAAATGTGAATCATTTAGATAATAAATTGCAGGTTTCATCTTCACATAAGTACCTAGTAAAAAGTAACAAACGATTTATTTTTTTTATAATTAGTCATGGTTCTAAAAACGTGACCTTTAAAAAAAACAAATCCCTCACCATTTTTCTGTAAAATCTAGCACGTTTAACGCATTGTTCAGGAAATTTCTGGACGATTCTATCCTATTTCTGCTTTGATTTTCTGGCTAGAATTTCCCTCCACAGAAGAAAAAAAATCTTCTTCCCCTCCTATATTGTCTTTTTATTTCCTCCTCCTATGGCCCTCATGTTTCTGTTATATTTTTATCTTTCTGCTTTTTGTCCTTGCCTGTTTTCGCCTTCTTCTTCACTTTCACCTCTTTTTCTTTTTATTATTTCTTCTTTCTTCTTAACCACCTCCCAAAGACCATTCACTCCTGAGGACTCCCACTGCCACAATTCTGACAGAAATAGCGAGTACAATAAGAATATCAGTTCAAACTATGAAGAAATATATATATATATATATATATATATATATATGCACACAAGTTAGAATATAAAAACATGTTCGGAAGAAAAAAGTAATAACAAATAAAAAATATGTAAAATGGCTAAAACTCAAAATAAATGAGTTCCTGAAAAGATCTGAGACTTTTAAGATAATGGTTTGGCTAGGATTGGTTGTCGCGGTTGGGAGGGTGTGTTAAACAATGATTGAAGTATCGGTCCGGTTTTGTTAAAGGGAAGAACAGTAAGTGGTAGAAAAATGAACTGGCTGGCTGTGCTGCATCAGCCGAGGAGCCTTCTTGAAGGGGCACTAATTCTTCAAGATGCTGATGGGAAGCAACTGAATAAAAGTATAACCTTCACTAAAAGCAGTCAATCTGCTTGCTATCATGGCTTCGCTGAGTGAAAGATGGTTCAGCGGGACATGGACAGGCGATGGGACATTACCGGAAATCAGAGACGACAGATTTTCTACAGTCGCCTCGTTTTCACCTCAAGTTCCTCTCTCTTTAACCCAATGCTGCCTCGTTCTCGTTCTCTGAGAATAATTCCTGCTTCGTTTCTTTGCCTTTCTAACAGCGGGATGACATGCTTTCTATTTTATTTCAATAAACCATTCTTTAAATTTCTTTATCTTTTTATCTCTGCTTCTCATTTTCTCTCTTAACTTTAGCAGGTTTCTCTCTTTCCTGACTCTCTCTCTCTCTCTCTCTCTCTCTCTCTCTCCTAATCCTCAACTCTCTCCTTATTTTTCCTTCTCGCTTTCTTTCTTTCATACCTTTCTCCTACTTTTTCCTTACCCTATTCTAATTCCTTTCTCTCTCAATTTTCCCTTGATCAAATACTCTTAGTAAAAAGGATGTGCGTTCGTTAAGAAGGAAAATAGAAATTGGTGTGATGAGTGGTAAAGCACACTGGATCAAACGATGGTTTCCCCTACAATGGTGGACGCATGTTCGATCCCAGACTAGAAACGCATTTTCTTTACTAGGATTTTTCGAATGCACAGACCGATAGACATAATACACACTGCTTAATAAATAAAAATGACGCATCTATTTCAAATATGAAGTATCCTCTATGATAAGGTTTGAATTTATATATATATATATATGCAACATTTATAGTAGGTACACGAACGACAAGCACTTAGTGATGCGCTTTATTCCGACGATTGTTCTGACCAAGTCAATACGGAACCCTTGCAAAGTAAATATTTTCTCTCACACACACGCACATTTTTAAAATATTTCTTTTTTTATATATATATACCGTATATTTCCAAGTATTAGGCAACCTATAGATAAGACGATACCCAAAATGTACATAAAATTTTGTGATTTTATCTGATATCCATCGTATAAGACGACCGACTGGGACCCATAAACTGTAAATGAAGATGTTTGTAATCAGCTCTTTGCATCAGATGGTGATGATCCTAGTAATTTTGAAGGTTTTTAATTATCTATTTGGGTGTCTTGATTTTTTTATTCTGTAATGAGAAATAAAGATTTTACGGCGTCTTAAATGTTTTGTTGCTTAACACCGGAAAAGAAACGAATATTATTGAAAAATAAATTTTGCATGTTGTGCTAAATGTTGTTATTCTTTAACACACACAATGATAATTAATTTTAATTCGAAATACAGACTGTATGTTATCCCAAATGTTGTTATTTAACACTACTATGAGAAATAATGATTGGTGTGAACGCATCCATTGCGCTACAAATCAAAAACAAAAGTTTTGTTTGCGTTACTTGTTACTTGTGTGTCTTGCCCGGCGTAACTTTTGTAAATTGTTGTGTAATCGGCTATGGAATATTGCATTTTAATGTGAAATCTAGAAGTAAAAGTAATTTTATTATATCTATAACTGTATTACAGCATTATAATGTGCATTGTTTCAACTAGAAATATTTACATCAGTAGTTACCATACCAAGGCAGTTATTAGCCTACCACAATCCATGGCGCAAGCATATTAGCCTACTTACTAGTGCCTATATACCACAGGATTTAAGGTTAGTATTTTGTTACTGTTATCTTAAACGAGTGGATAAAGCAATGACAAGATCTTGTGGGTAATTTTTAAGATTCAAAGGTCGCTTTATACGCGGAAATATACAGTACTTCTCTTATAGCTTTCTCTGCCTGTGCTCTTACTTTATATCTTACCGAGGTATACGAAGAGAAAGAGAAGGTAAGGGAAAATAGTAGGAAAGAAAGCGGTAAGATATAAAGTAAGAGCACAGGCAGAGAAAGCTATAAGAGAAGTACTGTATATTTCCGCGTATAAAGCGACCTTTGAATCTTAAAAATTACCCACAAGATCTCTCTCTCTCTCTCTCTCTCTCTCTCTCTCTCTCTCTCTGACTCCATTCACTCTTTCCAATCTCCTCATATCTCACACTTTGTCTCCTTCGCTCTCCCCATGTTTTTCACACATTCCCTAACTTTGTCTATCGTCCATCGCTTTCATCATATATTCTCTGTCATCACTCTTTCTTATTTAGACGAAAAGTGATTTGTTTTTTATGGCTTATCAACCCTTTGCAGGTTATTTAAAGTCAGAAAATATTTTTAGATAATAATGATACAAGTCCTACTAAATAACCATAGCTGGGTGGTGACGAGGTGAATTCATACCTTTCCCAAGGTATTTGCACGTAAGTGAAAATAATGAACCCGACTAGAATTGGAACTCGGCCCTCTGATTAATAAGTCTTAGCCATTATCTATACACAACCCGCACATGCAAGTTTACAGCACCTGGTATTCTGAAGTAGTCACCCATCTAAGTACTGACCAGGTTTGACGTTGCTTAAATTTTATGATCGTACGAGAACTCGTGTTTCAATTTATAAAAAAAGAGAAAGATAGAATACGAGAAAAAGAAACAGTAGTCATAAAAAATGAAGGGGGGAAATGACAATAAAAATGCAAAAATAAATAGAAGAATTCTCTTCGACATAACACCATCTTCGCATTTTTACTGCGATAATATCTTGCATGCCAAGGGTGACACCGAGTGACAGCGCCAATGCCGACAAGTCCGCAATTCGATTTGTTCTTTTCTCTATTTTTTTTTTCTGTTATTTTATTTGATAAGATACTTTGTCATTTCTTTATTCAATCCAGACGCAGTTGCTGCTGCTGCTGATGATGATGATGATGATGCTTTCATTTGTCAACGTTTATTTCCAAAATCTTTTTCATTCACTTTCTTCGTGTTTTTCTCCATATTTGGAGATTCAAGATAAAATGGCGAAAGGGTGAACCAATCTATAGGACAACTATTGGAAAGAATCCGCGCTTGTTTGTGGCTCAATAAAAAGCGAGAAAAGAACAACTTGGTTTGCAGTAAAAAAAATCACCTTTTGATAATTGATCATTTTTAATTATTTTGATGTAGAAAATAATAAATTTTATTTTTGCCTTTCTGATCCATTTTTGAACACAGGATATGCTGCACTCAGAATATTTTGCCCAACACGACTATAAAATCAAAATAAAAACCAGGAAACTATTATTTTCTTATAAGACTCGTCGGATCTAGACTCTCAAGCAGAAATGTCTAAACTATCATCTATATAAAACCGTTTTCTCAGATCAATCAGCATTATTTTGGTGCAGAAACGAATAGGTTATGCCTTTCTGAACCATTTTTGAACACAGGTATGCTGCGCTCAGGATATTTTTCCCAACACTGTAGGGTGCTATAAAATTAAAATATTAACATGAAAATTGATAATTCCTTAATCTTTAGACGTACGGGTACCAAAGAATAACTTTTGTACTTGCGTCTGCTTTAGTGTATCTTGTAGTAAAGGCGTGTAATGAAAGAAATATACATTAAAATACATGCACGGTACAAAGGAATATATGCCCTTTTTAAGCTTTAATTGTCTTTTCTCTGTAAGCTGAAGAAAGGAATTCCTTCTAGAATACCTGATTTTATTTATTCCATAAGGGAACTCACTCCACCATTTTTGTCTTCCCATCATTCATTCATCTAAGCTGCTCTCTACATTTATTTCCTCTTCACCTTGTCAACTTCTCTTTTCCGACATTTCCATTTTGTGTTTCATTTCTGTTTGATCTCGCAAAAAGCATAGTTACTCTTTTCTTCTCAAAGATAATCTCTTTCTCTTATTTTTTTTTTTTTTTTTTTTTTTTTTTGCGTTGAGTTGGTTGGCGTCTGGGTTAGGGCAAGAATGAGAGGTTCGCATTTAAGATTCTTTGCTTCTACCTGGCACCTTTGCCTTGCTCTCCAAGAGATGGCTATTATTTAGTATTATTACCATAATTCATTTATTCTTCGAAGAACTTCTTTTTTTTTTTACTTGATTTTGTCCTGCTTTTATCTTTCCTTTATACGCTTGGCATACTATTAGTTGAATTGTCAGCGTTTTCAAATTAGACATTTTTCAAGAATTCTCACTTTACCTTTTCCTCTCTTTTTTGTCTAAACTTTCTTTCTCTCCACACATCACTTTTCAGATTTTTTTGCTTACGTTGTTCTTGACCGACTGTCAATATGGCTTCAACTTAAAATCCTTGTCTCAACATATCTCTCTCTCTCTCTCTCTCTCTCTCTCTCTCTCTCTCTCAGACACTTTCTGTCATTCTTACCTCCTTTCTTTCTCCTCTCTCTTTTTCTTTATTTCTCAACATGCGCATTCTCTTTCCCTTTTGGTCTTTTCACTCATTCTCTACACATGCACATGTTTCTATCTCTCTCTCTCTCTCCTTTCTCATACCCCTCGCATTCACTCTAATAAATACGCAATCTTTCCTAAACTTAAGTTGTCATTTACACACCCTCACTCTCAATCGCATGTATACACACATTTTCTCTCTTTAAAACACATGCACAATTTACTCTCTCACTATTACAGCTCAACTTCGTTTTATTTCCTACCATATCAATATATATATTTCTATCCTACGTATGTTTAGATACACACACCTTACTTCACAAATACCATCTTTCTATTACACACTTATATGAACACACACATTCTGTCCCATTAATATAACTAACCAATCATTTTCAAATAATTACACGAGAAAAATTCATAAGCCAATAATTCGTATTGCTTATGGGTTCCATGTAGACTTTAGATTTTATTGTCATTTTAATCTTTTATTCTTTCGTTCTGATTAATCTCTCTCTCTCTCTCTCTCTCTCTCTCTCTCTCTCTCTCTCTCTCTATTCTTTTATCTTGAATTCGTTTGCTTTTTATTTCACCATTCCTTCGTCGCTTATTCCACCATTTTTTGTCACATATTCCATCATTTTTTCTTTATTTATTCCATAATTCATTCGTCGTATATTCCATCATTTTTCGTCGTGTATGCCATCATTTTTTCGTCTTTTATTCCATCATTCATTCGTCACTTATTCCAACATCCTTTCGTCGCTTATTCTTCCAGTCTTTCGTCGCCTATTACATTCATTCGTCACTTATTCCATCATCATTTCATCGCTTATTCTTCCATTCTTTCGTCACTTATTACATCTTTCATTCGTCACTTATTCCTCCATTCACTTATTACATGATTTCCTCGTAACTTACTCCATCGTCCTTTCGTCACTAATTCGATCATTTTTTTTCGTCGCTTATTGCTCCATTCTTTCATAGATTATTCCATCATCCTTTCGTCTCTTATTCCTCCATTTTTCGTCGCCTATTACATCTTTCATTCTTTATTTATTCCATCAACCTTTCGTCACTTATTCCTCCATCCTTTCGTCACTTATTCCTCCATTCTTTCGTCACTTATTACATGATTTCCTCTTAACTTACCACATCGTCCTTTCGTCATTCAATCAATCATTTTTTCGTTGCTTATTTCTTCCATTCTTTCGTCACTTATTCCGTCATCCATTTTTTCGTTACTTATTACATCATTAACTTACTCCATCGTCCTTTCATCCTTATTCGATCATCCTTTCGTTACTTAATCCATCATCCTTTCGTTGCTTATTCCTCCATTTTTTCGTCGCGTATTACCTCATCCATTTTTTATTTATTCCATCATTCTTTCGTCACATATTCCTTCATTGATTAATCTTTGGTTTATCAGACCTTAATGTAAGTATTTTCCTACCAATGCCTGATTGGTGAACTCCTCAGAAATGTATAATTTGTTCTAAGTTAAAATAAACCAAGTTAAGTTTAAATTTGAAAATGCCCTAAAAAAGTAAAACAGTTTTAAATCGTTTCAACAAATATCTGTTTTGTTTCGCCTGATTTGAACTAAGATTTCCGAGCTCGATAATTTTTTTTTATTTGCTGAAAAATTCAAGAAATCTTTGCTTTATCTTTTTCTGCCAGAAAACAATATATTTCGAAGATATAAGTGTACTGATTGTTGTTCATGTTAGGTTTGTGTCACTCAACCAAGAGGGGAGGGTCTACCGTTTTTGTAAATCATTGACCAAAATCATGATTGATTTTTATTCAGCCAGGCTCGGACAACGATCAATATAGTGTATTTTCTGTTGCATAATACGCATATTTTGATCATTCTGGTGAAATAGGCAGCGCAAAACGCAGGCCCACCTTCAATCATATCCTTCGTTTTATAATACTTTTTCGTCATTTATGTACCGTGTCCCTTCAAAACGTAGGCGATCATGGCTCTCCACAATTTCCTAACATTTGCAGCACTTAGCCACGTTTGACTCTCTACCGTCACTTTACCATCCATTTACAAAAACTTATTAGGTCAGCTGTTTACTGTTTCTCTATGCCCCTCCTTGCCTGGATGCGTCTTGTGAGTATAAAATTTTCCAAACCGTCCATTCTCATGTCTTGAAACAAATATTTGTGGAAAACGTGCACATTATAGTGATTTTCCAAGCGTAGCTTAGACGTGACACAAGGCCAAAAGAATGGGGCTCCAGATCCAGAATTTTGGGTTTAATCTCTGATATTTAAAAGTGAAAACTCATGCCCTTTTTTTATTCATTCATTTCATCCCAAGCAAGGCAATAGAGCCATAAAAATGTAAAATGAAAGTCAACAAAAACGTTTTGGATTGAGCGAGAGGAAATTAAAAGACCAGGATTCAAAGAGACGAAGATGGCTTTTCTTTTTTTTTTTTTTAATTTTTGAAAATTGATGTTGACAGGAAAGCAAGAAGTCGGAAGAGAATTCCACAAGTGAGAAGTGAGGGGGAAGAGACCATTAGCATAGAACTTACACTTAGCAACATTAACAGTAATATGATGAAACCTAACTGCCAATCTGCGACTGCGTTTAAATTCGTGAAGTGGAGGTAACAAAAAGGAAAACTCAATCTGAAGAAAGTCATGCTTTTCAATGCGTGTTTTAAACAATGCATATTTTATGAATTGAACATAATAACCATTAAAAGACAATACTCATTATCTATTCAGCTCTATAATGCTGTACTAATATCAAATAACTGCTTCAACACGAATATATATATATATATATATATATATATATATATATATATATATATATATAAAAGATAAATGAATGAATAAATAAGAGCTGCATAACAAGATAATATCAAATAACTGCTTCAACACGAATATATATATATATATATATATATATATATATATCCAGGTAAGATGAGAACGAATAGAGTATAATTCGAACGTTTGTACAATTAATTTAAAAGAGGGCTCGATACAGAATAGAGCAATATTATTCATTTTAGAATATTAAAATAACATGTAAAATCGCTACACAATTGCAGTCGTGTTTCGATACATACCACTGCATCTCCTCAGAGACGCATTGGTATGTGTCGAAACACGAACATGATGTTTAATATCCTAATATATATATATATATATATATATATATATATATATATATTATTGAAAGTATAGACATATTATGACTATCAGTTCTAACCATCATCTTTTCTAAATTGCGAATGATCTTTAGTAAAACTGGCTGCTGGAGATGTACGAAATTTCCTTAAATCAATATAATTACCATTTAATGTGTCGTTATATTTTGAATTAAAAACGCAGTTTGGGATATATTCCATCCAATTTAAAATCTAACGACACGTTAAATGTACCACTTATGGTTTTCTTCACCTTATTTTACTTATGTACTTATTGATTATAACGGTCATGAATTCGCTACCTGCACACCCCTGATGATGACTCACGTGAGTCGAAAGCTCGGACATGGCAATTATATTGATTTGTAAAATTTCGTACATTTACAGCAGCCTGTTTTGCGAAAGATCATTCGCAATTTAGAAAAAAAAAAAAGATGGTTAATCTTAATAGATATAAAATGTCTATACTTTTCAATAAAATGTGTTCAAAAGGGTAATTGCTGCTTAATTACACTATATATATATATATGTGTGTGTAAGCGTGTGCTGTAGACATATAAATCGGCACTGCATACCAACTTTTACAATTGTCGAAAACACATACTTAGTGCAACACATGCTTCTAGCTGTAGAAAACGTTTAAAAATAATAGAAATTCTAATAATAATAATATAAACATTTAACATCAACATCTAACACGGCCATGATGTACAGTTCATGTTTAAGAATTAAAAACATATAAGTATCCTATACATTACGTATATAGATATAGTAGGTCGATGGAAGAAATTTGGGAGATAAAACAATTATATCATTATTCTAATGATAATAAAAATAATATTCATTGTATATTATTAGGCCTTTAGACCAAATAGAAGCATGCGGAGAAAAGATGTTAAAAATTGGAATTTTCTGACACGTCTCTGCTCTTTTTCGACTAGAAATAAAATGAAGTTGGACTTTTGGAATTTTTTTTACGCATGTGTTATGTTACTGATGAAATCTAATAGTTTTGGGTTAGTCGTTTGTCACGATTAAGTTGGTAGAGGGTTTGTAGATGGCGTTGTGTGGAAATTGTATTCATTGAGTATGACTAAATTCTTATTTAAACCGAAAATGTGTGAATTTCTTTTAAAATAAACACTGCCTTTTTTTAAGACAGCATGTTAAAACATGGAGATGTCTTCGACCAGCAGTGGCAAACCTATCACGGGTTATTCGACTTTCTGTAAGTCCCTGCAGTATATGATAAAGAGACATAAAACAGTAAACTGATGGAAGCGTTACCTGTTCGGCTAACCTACTAACACTTAAGCCTATCAATTGTACAAACAGACAGAGAAATTGTTTCTCGTGCCTCCGCATTCATAGTCTCAATTGGATTTCCACATCGAAATTCGTCCAGTAACAAAAATGGCGGGAAAGAGAGGACAGTGAAGTAGAAGTAACAACAGTTTACCAGCTTTTGGTAATGGCGTTATGAAGACGAAATGAAATTTCAAAGAAATCTGATCAGCAAGCCCTCAACTTCATTCGCTACACAGACTGACTGAAAAAAAATAACAATGAATAAAGACTAATGGAATTGATTACTAAGTAGCCGAACAAAGTGGAAAATGGCTAATACATACAAACATATATATATATATATATATATATATATATATATATATATATATATATAAAAAATAAATGAATGAATAAATAAGAGCTGCATAACAAGAATGAAGGAATAATGTCATTCTTTCTTCCTTCTGCATCCAATTTGTTATAGTTTTGCTTTTCATGAGAGGTTATGTTCGGACTGTGTAAAGACAATCATGGCGGAAAGTGAAAAATATTACGTGTCGGCCATTTTGTTTCATTCGATTCATTACTGAATTTATTTACACATTTCACATTCATTTTACAAATGTTTTTTTTTTATTTTATTTATTTA